TATCATCATCATTTCAAAGATGAAGTTGAAGGAGAAAATAAATAAATGAGAGCAGAGCAACGTAGCATGCCCAAGGCAACAGGAAGAAGTGGTTATCAACACCAGGAGTAGTAGCAGTTTTGTTCCCTGCCTGTTTTCAAAAGGAGAGGGAAAAGGGCACTGGGGCACACACACAGCCTCAGTGGTGGCTGTGATGTGAGGTCCTGGTGTCCATGTGGATGGAGAGATGGGGAGCTGCACTTAGGGGTTTTTTTTTGAAGACAGAAGAGCACTGTGAGGCAAATCTGCTCCAGTGAGAAGCCTCACAAGGGAGGCTCTGTGTGGCAAAAGGCTGTATTTTTAGGTCAGCTTGGCCAAGCTGAATGAGGTGGTTTGTGTGGTAAATAGAAGGGGTGCCTGGCTTTGAAACTCGCTGTTTTCACAGCACAGAAGTCAGTTGTAAGCCACATTGATTATTCTAGGGTGGCAGTTGCAACAAGGATCAAATGGTGACCAGATAGAGGCAGGTAGCTGGCCACACAAGTTCAGTGAGGCCACAAAACTAGCAGTGCCCTGCTTTGCTTTTCTCCCAGAAGAGCTGTGAGCCAGCATTTTAAGCAAGTTCTGAGTTAATGCAGTCTGTTCAGTCGTTATCAAAAACATCATATGCTGCATAAAGCCTGATTTGATTAAAAGGGTCATTTGTTGTACTACCAGCTAATAAATGCCAGCACAGGTAACTTTGTGTCTCACAATGACTACACTGGAACAGGGAATTCAAGGCTGGATCAGCAGCATGGCAGTTTTAGTCTATCCCATGACTTAAGATGCACGTTAGCAAACCACAGTGCTGATGGAAGCTAAGAAGAACAAAAGCTGAAATGAATGAATGAAAGCCCCGTTCCTGGAGGCATTCAAGGCCAGGCTGGATGTGGCTCTGGGCAGCCTGGTTCTAGTGGTTGGTGACCCTGCCCACATTAGGGGGTTTGAAAGTAGATCAAATTTGAGGTCCTTTTCAACCCAGGTCACTTTATGAACAGACAAAAATGAGAGAAGCTCTGAGTAGATGAAGGGGGGGTCCCTGGAACCAACACAAATTGGGACACTTCATTTACACTAAGAGTCACAGGGAGGCCAAGGATAACCATGCTTGGTAAGCACAGAGAGGACTCAGCTGAGCTGAGCTTTGTCAAACTGCATGAGAGAACAAGAGCCACAACAGAACTGCCCACAGAGATGACACATCATCCAGCATCTCCAGAAAAAGACAACAAAAAGTACTCTTGGCTGTCTCACAAGTTTTGAAATTCACTCTGAGCAATGAGTCAGCACTTTCAGCATCGTGTGTTGCTTAAAGCATCAGCAGAGCATTTAAGTGAAGCTTAAGCAACACTCTGGATCCTGCAGAGAGCTTCTGTCCACCAGTAAGGAGGAAGATGCCTTGGGCAAGGGCCAAAGTCAGCAGAGACTTTAGGAGTAGGTGGAAGGGGAAAAAGTAGAGGAATGGGGGAAGAGATAAAAGGAGAAGAAGCCAAATGGAATGTCAGATTTCTCCCATGGTGCTGCTCTTTGGAAGGAAGCAGTAAGAAGTACTCAAGGTGTGGGATGAGGAGAGAATTATCCTGAAATCACAGAATGTCCTGAATTCGAAGAGATCCACTGGGATCTTCAGCTCCTACATAGCAAGGAACGACTGATCAAATGCATCCTGCTCTCCCATCTGTGTGCCAAGGGAGGTACCTGCTCTCTCTTTCATTCTTGTGGACTGCTCAGCAGATGCTGACTGCACAATCAGACTTCATGCAGGGAACTGCAGGATGAGCCATTCCCACAGCACGTCAGTAGGTGGCAAAAAGCTACAACCCTATTGCTAAGCAAGGAATAAATGCTTGTTCTCTCACAGAACAGGAGGGATCTGTGAGCAGCTCCATCCCATCAGAGATCATGTGCCTCCTGGCCAGCAGCCCAGCACTACCAACAGGGTGTGACACCCCAGAAAATGCACCATCCCTTCATACCCACCCCTCTTTTTTCCTCAGGGTCCCCTGTGCCATACTTTACCTTCCTTGAGTAATGAGTCATAGACTCGTTAAGGTTGAAAAGACCACTAAGATCTTCTAGTCCAACCATCAGCCCATATAGAAAAGCTGGGAACCCAGAGGGATTAATCAATACTTCCAAGGTTGGGAAAGAAGAGCATTAGGGCTGTGCTGCAGCACCATCTGAGGTTACCTGGTTGGACAAACCAAGCAAATGATCACACCATAATCTTCATGTACAGCCTGAAACTGAGCTTATTGAAACCATCCCCGCTGCCTGTCACATGTCCCAACAAGGGAGGGAGATAAGGGATTAATCAAGTTAGTGGAAATATCCAAGAGCTATTGATGGTGGGTTTTTTTTCATGCTTTTGAATGGTTGCAGGTGTCAGGGAAGGGAGGATGCTGGTTGGTGCTGAACACCCACATTTCTATTCAAGGAGGTCTAATGCTCTGAGCACCGGGTGAAAACAGAGCCTGGAAAGATGAGAAAATGACATAAACACAGGCTGCATGGTGAGAGCCAATTACAGCACAGCACTGAGCTTCATTCGGTTTTCTTTACCAGCTGTTGCTCTTTGCTAAGTGTTAGTAAATTGTATTTCTGCTGAGGAACAAGAAAAGAGATTACAGCAACCTGGGCCTCCAGACCTCTGCAGTAGCATCTAGCTTTTCTAAATATAGAGGAAAGGTTCTTCAAGATTTCTTCTTTTAAGTGGTGCATTTAATTACTAATGATTTAGCCAGACATTAACCATTGGTGCTGACTTTCCCCAGCTCCACTGCCTGCCTGAGGCTGAGCACAGTCATTTTGTCTGGACATTTCAGCAAAATCAGTTTGGTTAATCCTGAGCAAGAGAAACTTATCTTGCTCTGGCCATTTGTAACACAATGGGAAGCGCACCAGTGTCAGCATACTAGCAAAGTCCCAGGCTGCAGCAGGTGAAGGTTTGCTCAAAATGCAACAGTCATGGACACAGAAACAAAGAAAATAATCTGCTTACCTTTGGAAGACCACAGGTATACAGGGATCTCCAGTGAGATATCCTTGCTTCCACTGCCAACATTTAAATGAGGTATGGGAAGGGATGGATCCTGGCTTTACCCCTTCTGGTCACTCAGTTGCATTGCTTGCACCTGAGCTCACCTGGGTTGGCCCTTCCTTCTCACCAGGTGCTCCATCACTGCTTAAAGCTGTGACAGCATTTCCACTACACCATCTCACCACCAAGTCCACCACCAAACCCATCTTACAGCCCTTTCACAGGGAAAATCCTATGCTCTCGTGCCTCGGGGCAGAGATCTATCTGAACTACATCTCCTAGAATCATTGAAAGGACTTTTAGAAGTCTTTTAGTTCAGCTCCCCTGCAATGAATGAGAACAGACAAATCCCACTTCACTTCCATGCTGCTGATCCTTGCCTCTTGGCACCACCAAAATCAACCCCTGCTCATGTGCTGTCCTTCAGTCCTTCACGAGTTCCTTCAGAACTCATCCCATGCCCATCCCTGGCAGTTGGCAGGACCTCTCCAGCCTCTCCTTGCTGTGGAGGCAACCTCAGACCAGGAGTTTCATTCCATCATGACTTGCACGAGCACCATGCGCTCAGTTCTGAGCAGCCAACCTCACCCCTTGCGTAGCACCTCATCCTTCAGATGATGAGATGGTATCAAGCATTTGGAATAGGGAACTTTTCAGAACCACCTCTCTGAGTTGCAGCCCTGGCATTGTAGTGTTCCCCCCCCCCATCTTCTGGAATTTGCAGAAAGGTTTAAGTTTCAACTTCACTAATAGAGAAAACGTTTTCATTTCCAGCCTCTGAACAGATGTTGAGAAACTTGAGAGCAGGACGAGCTACCACTTGCTTCTCTCCAGGTCATGATGAGTTAACACAACTGAAAGCAAAACAGTCAAAGGACTTTGAGCATGAGAAGCAGGAAGAGGGTTTCCTGGCTTCATTGCCTCCAGAAAAGCCAATTTTGCACACTGTGAGTTGATAAATGAATGCTCAGAGTCTCCATGCAGCCTGTGCAATGGATAGACTGCTCTGCACATCCTCTCCATGGGCACTGCTCTTCCCAAGTGCTGGCAACGCCATTATCGGGAAACAAATGAGCTCTATCTGAGATAAATTGCATTTACACCAATTACAGCTCAATTGTTGACAGATGGGAACACAGAAGGGAGATGCGTCGAATCATTAAGAGGACAGGTGTATAGAAAAGTGCCAGATTAATTGTTCCAGCCCATTAAATCATTGACCTTTCCAGCCTACCCTCAGTGCTGAATTCAGAGCTCTCAGGATCCTTCCAGCTCACACACGATGACCACATTTACAAGAAAAGCACACAGGGGTGCTTTTAAAACACATGCTCCGGACCCAGACTCATTAGCAGGCCTTCTTTCTCATGAAAAGCTGTTTTCTTACTGGAGTTTGTTTTCTTGGCTTTTCCATGCACTCACACATGGCTCCAAGGAGCAGCTTTCTCCCCAAAGAACAGACTTGCTATACATCCAGAGAGGTTGCAAAGGGCGAGGGGATGAAGGCAGACAGAGATCAGTGCTGAATGGAGGCTTTGGCTTTGAGTTGAGGCTTTGGCTCTGATTTCCAAATCCTGCTTTCCCTGGGATTTTCAGTAAATCCTGGGAGAGACAAATAGCTAAAAACTGCTGAGAGCAAATCAGCCATGGGTGTCTAATTCCCCTAAAAACATGTAGAAGCGTGCCTCCTGCTGAGAGCCAACACCAGATCCACTTATTCAAGATGGCCTGGCTTGGAAATGCTGAGGTTGGAAAAGACCTTCAAGATCATCAAGTCCAACCACAACCAAACCAAACTACCCCAACAACCTCTCCACTAAAGCATGTCCCTGAGCACCACATCCAAATGGTTTTTAAACACATCCAGGGCTGGTGACTCAACCACCTCCCTGGGGAGCCCATTCCAGTGCTTAACAACATTTCTGTAAAGTGTTTCCTGATATCCAACCTAAACTTACCCCGGTGCGACTTGAGGCCACGAAAACTAAGGGGATAAGATTTCCAGCAGAGGGAAATGAATGGCCATGAGGGAGATGGGAGGAAGAGTAAACCCACCTCTCTTCTCAATGCCAAGTGAGCAAAACGTAGGTGTTTTATAGCAGATTATCCATTAAAGCTGGAGGTGAAGGAAAGTCACCTGGGACAGAGGAAATTTAAAAAAATAATAATAAAATATTTAGAAATACCAGAATGTTTATTAAAAGACCTCTGACCAATCGTTCTGCCTTTCAATTTGAATGGATGTTCTGTGGCTTAGAAAAGGATGCAGGATTAAAAACAAGCAGAAAGGCCTAAGTGACCTTAGGGCAAGCAAAACTTTATTTCAGTTGGAACTTACTATGGGGGTTAACCCAGAATATTCTCCAGCTCCTGCTTGTTGGTTCTGCCAGCCTCCTCCTCCTCCCTCTGCCCCCATGTTATTGTTGTTCACTCCACACCACTTTTCCCCCAGATATTCTTTCACATACCCAGACATGTCATTTCTGTCCACACATCAACCATCTCATTTCCAGTGCTCCTCTCTGCTGGTCTCTGTGTTCAGAAATGCTGCACATCACAAACATCATGTCTATGTCACGGTCTATCCGGAGCAGAGATCACAGCTTGTTCCTTCAGCACATCCCAAGCATAGCTGCTAGAACTCTTTATCAAAGAAGTTATCGAAGAGTGAAACTCTCTCTGTCCTGGTTCTCACCAGCGGAGGTCTGCGGTAAAGCTTCTTCTCTTCCCTCTCCCACTCCTCAGAGTCAGTGCTGGAAGTGTCCCAGAGCAGATCCCTGCTGCGTGGCTCCTTGCAGAACCACAGCCCAACCTTGCTGCTGCTGCTGCTGCTGCTGCCCAAGGGAAGCCCAGCTCTGGCATGGTGCCCTGCAAATCCTCCATCCCCTCTGTTTCCTGAGAGAGAAAATAACAATAATTGCAGTTTTCCTCAGAGGCATGCCCATCCTGTTGGGTTCAGCTGGTAATCCCTATGAGGAAGATCCTGAGAAATCCCTGCAAGATCAGAGCACGTTCCTGGGGCTGGGCAGACCTGGCACAGTCTATTCAGAAATAGAATCTTGGAACTGGCTGGGCTTTAATGTCCCTTCCAACCTAAACCATTCTGTGATTCATTCTGTTGGGTGAATTAATCAAGTCTGACAACTTGATTAATGAGGCAACTGGTTTAGTGCTGACCCATAGGAATGGTGGGATTTGCATGTTGTGTCCCAGGGAGCACATTCCTGCCTGAGATGCTTTAAGACTCCCAATGTATGTGAGTAGGTACCATCTCCAGTACCTTCACATGGCACTGTCTGATCTTCTGCTGATGGGAACCTGCTCCTGGCCCTGGGATCTTTGGTTCTGTGCCCCTATGGCTATTCCCTGGCTTCCATAGGGAAACTGACTTAGAGACTTAGACTAGTTGGGTTGGTAGGGACCTAAAAGATCATTGAGTTCCAACCCCTGCAGTGAGCTGCCTGCTCCCCCCAGCTCAGGCTGCACAGGGCCCCATCCATGGCCTTGGGCACCTCCTAAGATGGGGCACCCACAGCTCTGGGCAGCAGTGCCAGGGCCTCACTGCCCTCTAACAATTTCCTCCTAACCTCTAACCTAAATCTCCTGTTTTAATTTAAAGCCATTCCCCATTACCCTACCACTATCAGAGGTCTATATTCCTCCTTTTTATTTTGACCACGAGAGTTTGTTTTGGGTTCATTAGCATGAGAAATAGGACTTTTAAGAATAGATGTGCTCCTATAAAGCTCACTTTCAGCTTTTTCCACCAGGACCCCCAAATCCTTCTCGCAGGACTGCTCTCAAGGGGTTCTTCCAGTTGTACACATAGCTGGGATTGCCCTGACTCAAGTGCAAGACCTCGCAAGGTGGCTTTGTTGAACCTCACGGGGTCCAAATGGCCACATGAGGATGCTGAGGAGTTTTACATCTCCTCAAAACATGATTCTGCTTACCAGTGTTACTATCAAAATGCAGACTGTGCTCAGCAGGGATGAGGTCTTGGCTCCTGGTGCTGTCGCCTCTCTGAAATGTGTCAAGGACCATCTCTGAACCCAATTCCTCCATTTTTTGTTCATTGATTTTTGCCTCCCTGTGGAGATCCCGCTTCAGCTCCGCCTGGGTTTGCAAACAAGTCATCAGCACAAGCAGCAGAGGAGCAAACACGTTCTAACAGCTTGACGCAGCACGTCATTAGAGAGCTGGCACTGCAAGTAATCACACATCCAGGTAGCTCAACCAGGGCAATTCGTATTTGCCAAAACGAGCACAAGACAGAACGTGACCCCATGGGAACTTCCTCACCTAGGGGGGAGGCAAAGAGATGGAAAAACCCTTCCAATCCTCAGCCTCTCCCCAAGGCCATCCCCACGTTACCTCTCGGCGCCGGCGCGTCAAGTCCAGCATCTGCATCTTGTGCAAGTGCTGCCGTCTGCCAGGGAGGGCTCTCAGGCTCTGCCCCCTCTTCTCCAGAGTCTGTGAGGTATTAAAAGCATCAGTAAAGACACCTGCGTTGGCTGAAAGGAAAAGAAACTCCTGCTTGCCAACCCACACCCGGTCCCTCAGGTGCTGCCCAGATGAAGGCAGCGAGCGTTTTCCTGTCTGGCCGATGTGCAGCAATTTAGTGTAGGTTTTCAAAGCACTCACAGCTTATCTATCTCACAGCTAAGGGGCATGACAGAAACTTCTCATTAAAGTCACGTATGCCTGCTCCTGCTCCCAAGGTGCTGCTCTGCTCTGCTGTGCATTGTTCAGGCTGACATCAGGAGCTGCACATGGACAATCGTGCCTGCTGCACAGCTCTTGGCCCTTTGCTGTGTGCTCACCTTGGCTTTTGGGCCTCCATCCATCCCTTGCTGCCTCCAGGGCTTTGCAGCAGTGATCCCCCTTGGAGTGCCAGCAGGTTCAAGCCTCTGCAAGTGCAATATTTAGTGTTCAGCATTCCTCTTTTCATACAAACACCCAACCCAACATGAAGATACTTAGACATTCCTCCAACTCCAATTCTGGCCTGGTTGCTTGGGATACAAGAAGGAGTTTGGCACATTCAGCAAACGCTCAACATGCATCAGTATCACCATTGAATACAGTGTCTCCTGGCAGGTCACCCGAGGCCAGATTCTGGTTACCTGGCCCTGAAAACCGTCCCCTCCATCCAGCTAGACTGTTTTGGAGGCTAAGGCCTTACTCTGCAGGACTGCACGTGGTATGGAAAGTCCTTCCTGATGGAGTTCAGCAGCTTTACAGGCTGTTCTGAGCATGGATTTCCATCTCAAGAACTAAGATATCTCCTTCAGCCTCCCAGATAACACTGGCTCACTTCTAGTCTCAATACTCCTCATTTCCCACCTATGATGGGAGCTCAGCCTGACTTCCATAAAAATTAAAAGGAACATCATAGAATCCTAGGCTCATCTAGTTGGGGAAAGAGACTTAAGACCATCAAGACCAGCTATCAATCTAACACTACCAAATCCACCAATAAAACATGTCCCACAATGCCACATCCACGTCTCTTAAATATCTCCAAGGATGGAGACTCTACTGGGCAGCCTATTCCAATGCCTGAACACAATTTTTATGAACACGGGTTGGATACCAGGAAACATTTCTTCTCCAAAAGACTGGTGATGCATTGGCACAGGCTGCCCAAGGAGGTGATAGCAACACCATCCCAGGAGGTTTTCAAGAGCCATGGAGATCTGGCACTGAGGGACATGGTCAGTGGGCATGGTAGGATGGATTGGGCTTGGGAATCTGGGAGGTCTTTTCCAGCCTTATTGATTTTATGATTCCATATGTTCAGTCTAAACCTCCCTGGCACAACTCAAGGCCATTTGCATCAAAGACTCTATCTGGAAGACCTATCTTGCACTTTATATGGGACATCATTAACCTCTTGAATGTGAACAAGAGTGTCTTCTGACTGGTGACACGACTCTGGCTGGCTGCACCAAGCTGCTGCCAAAGTCTGGGCTGTAATCTTCAAGGATCCTGCAAATAAATCATGGGATCACAGAGTAATTAAGGTCCAACCATCAGTGTATCATTATGGGAGATTAAAGGCAGCAGTAAAGAAATGCTGGAGAGGAATCCCAATTCAAGCCAATGCAACCGGTAAAGGTAAAAGAAAGCTCCCTAGAATTAATAGAATTATGGGTTCCTACGTACTTCAGCTCTGCCTATGGCATCCCCATTTTCCACCATGCCTCCTCCATGCAGTGCTGCATAACGTGTGCTTTCTTTTCACCTTGCTCCCCAGCCCTGGCATACAGCTCATGGCCAGCTTCTGTGTGCACGAAGCTGAACGCGAAGCTGAAAAATGTGGCACTAGATGGCAGCATGTGACACCACAAGCTGCAGCCCGGATCACACATTGCTCACATCCCACATCTCACCGATCACTGCATCCCGCAGGAAGCAGTTTTGGGCTTTCTGCTTAAGTTGTGCCATGTGCTCAGAAAGCAGGATGTTTGCTTCCCCGTCCCCAGGCCAAGCAGAGCAGCTCTATGTGAATCTTCATACATTCACCCTACCTGCGGTTGCCGAGGCGGGTGCAGCTTGATGATGCTGCTGGCTTCATTCTCTCCAACCAGCACCGTGCTGAAGTCAAAGGGCCCTGAGGGATCAGAAAAGGAGAAGATGAAGTGAAGTCACTTTCAGTCTGCTCCTGGGCTTTACTCAACTACAGCTTTCTACCATATTTTTATTGGCATTTCCCAAACCCATCTGTCCCAGTTTCTTGCCCATTGAGGTGGTGGTGCCCCATACCTGCAAACACCCAAGATCAGGCTGGATGAGCTCTGAGCACCTGATGGAGCTGTGGGTGTCCCTGTTCATTGCAGGGGATTTGGACCAGATGGTCTTGAAGGCAGCTTCTTTCCAATTCAAAGAGTCTGTGATACTACTCCAGTAACAGAAGGTATAAATTATTGTTACCCACAGAAATAACACATGGATGTATTTGCATCTAAGAAACCTGTCTGCCACACGCCTCTCTTCTCCCTTTACAGCCCCTCACACAGTCCATATATGACAACGACCAACCTCTGTGTCTCCTGTAGCATCTCTGGGGCCTCTCCTTCTACACACAGCACCTCGCTGAGCTCTATGGCCACCCCGCTGTTTCCTGTCCTGGTGTAGAGAACAGGCAGAGAGCTGAGCCTCCTTTTGCCACAAAATCACACAGAAGGGACCTTAAAGATCACCTGGCTACCACCCACCAGCACCTGTTACTTATTAAGGCAGTGCTTTAACTGAGCTCAACCTGCCCTGAGCTCTGTGCTGTTCCTCCTGGGTGCACAGAAGTGTTATTGCTTGCACAATTAAACACGCACAGTAACTGTTACAGCTTCTCTGTCCTCCCTAAACCTGCCCTTGGGTGTCTGAATGCCATTCCATGTGAGTCATTGAGCTTCCCATATCTTGGCCTCTTGGGAGGGGGTATGGGGATAAAGGGCTGGGCTATGGCACAGAGAGACAGGGAAAAAGGTACTGCATGGGTGTTAAATCCACATTTACCAGTTGCACAAAGTGGGAGGTGCCCTGATGGGGCTGCAGTACCCCCCAAACCCAATCTGTTCACCCCAGACCACTGTCACACCAATGCTTTGTGTGCTGTCACAGCACCCTGCTGTCCCTCCACAGGCATTCCTTGTGTCCTGCTCCACGTGAGCACAAACCTCCTCCTTCACCTCTAGGTTTGGGTATGGGACATCTGGGGCACAGCACATTGCAGCAGGACTCACCTTCCCCACCTCTTGCTAGTGGAGTCAGCCTGGTGCCGTGGGGCTCTGATTTATTTTAATGCTGAATTTCACATCTAATTAAAGTCTAACTCTAATTAAGATAGTGATATGGCTGTGCCCAGCTGTGCACGTTACGGGGCTGAGATATGAATGCTGCGTCTGGCACTGCAGGGGTGCTGTGAACTGGGCTCTGAGACCATCTCAAAAGGCTCTGGGAAGGGAAAAGGTTGCTGGGAAAAGCCTCCCCCCTTTGCTCCATACCTGTAGAGGCTCTCCCATACCCGGTCTGGCGGAGGGGTGGGAGCTGCCCATGGGTTATGGGATGTCCATGCTCCGTTGTGGCTGTTGGGTGCAGGCTGGGGTCCCCCAGCACCTCCTCACTGCTGAGCATCGGTGCCACCTGGGTCACCCTGGGGTGTGTCTTGGAAGAGCTGAGACCCATTTTGTAGAGCTTGGGAAGAAGGAAAAGCCCACTCTGAAAGCAGTGCTGTGATGCAGAGCTCCTGACTGGCTGCCGAGCACAGGGTTGGATCCCACCGCCAAATGCACTCATGTGCCCTTCCCAGCAGGGTTAAACATTGACATGGCCCTGGCCACTGCTTTGTTTTTACCTCCACACGACTTTCAGCAGCACTGCCTCAGCTGGTTGAGCTGGAGGCATTTCTACAAGTGGTTCATTTGCTAAACATTCAGTCTTTGGAAAGAAATTTGATGCTCGGAGTGGGTCACAGCATCTCCAGAACCTCCCCAGGTATACGAAAAGCACCCCCTACCTTTGCTTTATCTCCTGTACTGGCATTGCTGAAGGTAAAAACAGGTTTATCACAAACCCACCTAAAACATCAAAGCCAACGCCAAGATTCAGATTGGATAATTGGAAACGTTCTCCAGAAGAGCAGTGATGCAGTGGTACATCTGCCCAGGGAGTGCTGGGCTCACCATCCTTGGAGAGGTTCAAGGACTGTGGAGATGTGGCACTGAGGGACCTTGGCAGTGGGCATGGTGGGGGGTGGGCTGGGTCAGATCCTCATCTGGAAATTTGTGTTTTTGGGGGCCGTGGGGCAGGCAGAGTGGCTTTGCTGGGGGTGGGAGGAAGGCATGGCTGCAGAAAGGCTGTGTCTGAGCAGGCACCGGGCGGGTGGGATTCTCAGTTTGTATTCCTCCAATGGATCAGCAACACGGCTGTGCAGAACAGCCCTGGATTTCACATTATTTTCCTTGCTGAATACTTAATGAGGCTCCTTGAAGGATCCAGTGCTGGGCCTGAAGACGCTGCTGTGAAGCTGCGTGCCAAAACGCGCTCGTCAATGCATGCTGAAAGGAAATGCTTGTTTTCCCTGTGTGTTTGGTTTGGCAGGAGCTGGAATTCCAGTAAAACACATCTCTACAGCTCTCTGTCGGTGTAAATGAATGTATCAACCCCAAAACCGACCTGGGGTGGTGCCCATTCAGCCACAAGTGTGACTGATCCCAGAAATGCTGGGTCACAGCTCCCCTGTGGTGACAGGGAGGGAAGTGGCCAGGTTGGTTTGCTTTGGCTTTTGAAAGGTTTTTCACTGTGGCGGATGAGAAGAACAATTGTTTGGCCCAATGAAATGCTCTAAGAAATGGGATCTGCCATTTCCCAAGGGTGCTGATGGTTCAGGGTGCTCCATTTCTCATGAGAAGGCTCTGGGAGGTACTGGGCTCTTGGTAAAGCTCAGCACCGTTGGGTTCAGTAACACAAGAGCTTAAATGTTTGTGGGTTTTTTTTTTTTTAATTAGAAAACATTTTATTGTGGTTATTTACACCCTTTCCTTGGTAAGTGTATAAATGTAAACATTTATTATAGATCTAACTCTCTTATCTTACAACTCATACCCAGTTCAGAGTAAATGGCATTTTTAAGCATACAAGGAGTGAGGAAATTTAAGCTATATTCACAGAATATACACCTGCGTGCAGTACAGTCCACCAGCCCTAAGCTAGTGGTATAGACACTGTGCCATTGGCTCTACTTCTGCTTCTCGTGTGTACACTGGAGTCTGTGATGTCGTCGGCGTGATCCTCACTTTTCTTCTCCTTTAAGCTGTTGATGAACCTCAGGGTTATTTCGTCCCACTCTTCGGGGAGCAGCATCAGCAGGAATCCAATGCAAATGATGATGGTGGCTCCCAACCTCACCACGCTGAAGATCATTTTGTGCTTCAACAGATCCACAGCTGCGAAGGAGAAACAACAGCACCATCAAAACTGCAGCAGGAAAAAGACTGTGGCATCAGATCAGCCTGGCTTATCTCCACGACATGCATCTTAGATGGCCACATTGTCTGCCATCCCCAAGAGTAACCAGATCTTGGACAATGTAAAAGACTTTTCCTTGTATCTAACCTATTTTCTTGAAGCTTGAAGCCATTTCCCCTTATTCTGTTACCACAGACCCTGCTCAAGAGTCTGTCTCCTTCCTTCCTGTGGCTCTCCTTCAGATATTGAAAGGCTACCAACAGGTCATGTCCTTTTGCCATATGGATCAGGGAGGGCAGCAAACTGGAGGTGATGCCTCCATGCCGAGCCTGCCAGCCCCACAAGTGTAATAACAGCACATCTGAGCCCTTGCAGGGCTGACAATCACATCGTGCATCTCTGACCTGCATCCCCCTCTAAATAGATGTTTCTTTGGAAATGTGCCCAGACGCCTGGAGTTGCAGGGGGGTGGAGGAGGAAAACAGAAGAGCAGAGACAGCAGCTACTGAAGAAGAAGGAGGACTTTGGAGTAAAGTTCCACGTGTATGGGCTGCCCTCATCAGTCACCAGCTCTGGGGCCGCTGCCTGCCTCTCTGTGCTCAGTATGGGCACAGCCACCAAGAAAAGGAAGACAAAAGAAATGGCTTTGGCTAACGAAAAATCCCACCATCACCAGGAGCACGCGTGGGAGCCAAGCGACATCGAATCCCTTCTGAAATACATGGCAGAACATTTTGACCATTTAGACAAAATTCTGCTTCTGCTGTCTGCATGCTGATGTGCTTATCTTCCAACCCATGAGCAAGGACTTGTACCTGCATTCCCAGGGACGCTGAGCACTGTGCCAATGGAGATCAGAATGGGGTACGTAAGCACGACGCCAACGTTAACCAGAATGTTGAAGGCTGGGGAAAACAGATAAAATAATACATGATTATGCAGAAGAGCACTAGAATGAGACTCTCCTCCTCCACTCTGACCCCAGAAACGTGATGGGAATTCTATAGTCAGAGTCATTAAGGTTGGAAAAGACCTCTAAACCATCTAGTCCAACCATCCACCTACCACCACCAATGCCCACTGACCACATCCCTCAAGACAAAGGGGCACTCATGCAATTAGCCTATGAAGTCAGCTAAGCAGGCTGTCCTTAGACCACGGTCTTGCTGCAATGTTGAAGGCAGTACAAATGCTCAGTGTGGATTTATGGAATGTTTTGGGTTTTTCTTTTTAATATAAGTAGTCCTAAACAGCAGAACTCTGGGTGGTAAGTTATCAGTACTTTTTGTCCCTTTGATGCTCACGGAGAAGGTGCCATTCAGCTCAGGAATGGCAAGGGCTTTGCTCTCAGCACCTCAGCTGTCAGACCTGCTGTGTTTTAGCATGGCTGCATTGATGGGCTGTGTACTGGCAACGACATCCTTTTTGTTTCCCTTTAATATACTTGTAGTGGAGACAAACCTCTACAATTATGAAATAATTGAGACTTTAGCGAAGGAAAGGATGTTCTTATACCTGCAAATTAAAACACCCCTGGGCTGAATCCAACAGCTTTTCTGCCTGCCTAGAGGACAGCAATTGTAGCCCTGGAAGAAGAAGTGTTAGGGGAGAGAGGAGGGGAGGAGAAAGCTGCAGGAAATGAAACAGACAGCACCAGTCTTTGCAGACTCCCAAAAAGCTGTGCAACCTCTGCCCAGAGCCTGCAGCACCCCCAGAAATGTGTCCTGCATCAGTACGTCTCCATGTCAGTGCTGCATGCCCTGCAGAGCCTGCCAGGAGCTGCTCGGCTGTGTGCAGCCCTTTGAAATTCCATTTTTAGCAACCAATCTGGGACAGAGAAAGTGAAATATCAATAACACTGCTGTAGGAATGCAAAGATGAAAAGTGAACAATTAGTACGAGCTCTCTGCCTTTGTTCCCTTCTACTAATATTAGTGCTAAGGCCTCCAAAGGAAAGTGTTAATCATTCTTTAAGGAGTACCAGTGTGCACTGAGGTCAGATTCCACGTGGGAGAGCTTTGTACTGGGTGCAAAGGGATGGGGCAGAAAAACGAGCACCTTTTTTATCACATACCTAACCAGAGGCCAGCTACTCCACACAGGAAGCCCCACGGCACAGCAGAGAAGGGTGACCAGTATTCCACCTTCGTAAAATACAGTATGATTGGGGTAACAGAGATGAAAATTAAATTGAAGAAGCCCAAGGTGGAAACAAAATGAGCAGCCTCTCCAAAATTCGCACTGCCAAGAAACATCTTGAACAAAACCTGCAAAGGAAAGAGAGGGGTTTTAGTCTCATGGCTGTTGTGGAAAGCAAAGTCCTCCTGCACAGCATCCTCCATTTCCTTGGGAATAATGGGGCACAAGAACAGCCCTTACCAGGACAGGGTGTCACATCCCAAAATTCCTTCTTAGCAGAGTTGCCCTCAATGAGTTCTTATCCCAGAGTGTACACACAGCTGGGACTTCCCAGACCAAACTCCAACACCTTGCATTTGGCTTTGCTGAATCTCATTAGGCTCGCATGGGCTCATCTTTTGAGTTGTCCAAGTCCCTCTGGGTGGCATCCCTTCCTTCTGTTCTATCGACTGCATCACTCAGCTTGGTGTCAACAGCAAACTTGCTGAGGGTGCATTTGATGCCATTGTCTGTGTTGTTGATAAAGATGTTGAAGAGCACTGGTCCCAAGACGGACCCCTAGGGGACACTGCTTGTGACCAGCCTCCACCTGGACATGGAGCCATTGACCACAGCCCTCTGTCTGTGACCTTCCAGCCAATTCTTTATCCATCTAATAGTCCAGCCTTCAAATAGTCAGCCTTCAAATCTCTCTCCCATTCAGAGATGAGGATGTAGGGTGGAACAATGTCAAAGGCCTCGCACAAGTCCATGCAGACAACGTATCTTGATGTTTATTATAAAATGCCAGAAGGAGTATAAATCAGAACCCAAACACATAGCAGTCCATGTAAGGAGATTTACAGGAGTAAACACAGCCACCTTAGCCCAACCTACAAGGTGGGCTATTTCTAGGTCAGCCACATCCCTCCCTTCATCTCTCACCTCCAAGAGCAGCTAGTTCTTTCAAGCAGGAATCAGAGCCCTGCTGTCTCTAATATACCAGGCAAACAGGGGCTCTCAGCCTGGCACGAGAGTGGAATACACAAGAGTTCTGCACTGCAGACCAGGGACGAGATGTCTGTCCCTGCAGAAGGGACACGGTGCTATCTGCTCTCACCCTCTCCTCCCTGCTGCAAATG